GGCTGGATGTCATTAGCAGTTCAATGTGCTGTCTTGCCTAGTAACGATAAATGGGAATACTAAGAACCCAGTAATTCAGCTCTGAGCTGTATATATTTTCTACTATTAAGGATAGGCCCTTAAGTAACTGTCAAGTTTCTTACTCTCAAGTTAAGACGTTGATAACAATATTGGCAAAGCCAGCATTTAATCTAATGATTTGGCTTATCCAATTTATGAGTAAACACAAATAAATAAAAAGCACAAGAGCCCTGGTTGTCTTCTTGGTCTAGGCCGATGAAACAAAAATACACTTTCTCCATAGTAATCAGACAATCTTGAGCTATGGAAGGCAGTTCAGGCTAGTGTTGATAGCTTTTATTAAGTCACTTAATGCAACTTATATCTGCATTACAAATGAGCAGCACAAATGGTTGCTTCAGTAATTAAGTGTGTTTCTATTCTGGGTGACCCAAAATAAGCACATTAGACCAATATAAAAAAAAACATGTATTTCAATTATGTTTCATACAACCATGATCATTCATTTTGATAGCAAACATACCCAAAAGTTCTTTGCAGAGTTGGCCGTTTAAATATTCATATATTTGAGATTTCGGTTTCTTATGGAGCTTTGAGCATTACCACCAGAAAGGACATCTTCAGACAGATCCGTATGTTTTGAGACTTGTTTCACATTATTATGGAACCCGTCGCATAATATGCAAGGGGTAAACAAAGAGCCACGTTTATTTATTGTCTTCTATTTTTAACTTTTATACCAACAATAGGAGGGCACAAAAGGGATGCTATGGCAGAGTCAACATTCAATCCATTTCAAATTTAGAAATCCACACGTTATTCTATCCCAAACCTCCAGGAATCATAACTAGCATAAGACCCCTGCTGCTGAAAATTTGAGCACTGTGTAGCTTATTTAGCACAACACACTTTCAGATTATATTTTTTTCCTTTCTTTCCCGTCAAAGTTTTCTATGAATTAAACTTAACAAAATGAAATTAAGTCCTATACCAAAAAAAAAGTTACTCAGCCCTGGAGTGCACAGAACTGCTGAAATACAGCTAATATGTGATGATCCAATTCTGCTGTGAATAGAAGGTTCTCCAAGGTCACCATGTACTGTTGGATGGTCTGATGATGCTAAGACACAAAAAGCATTTCAGTTAAGTTTGGAAATGATGTAGCACCTTAAATAAAAAACATTGCATCTTTCTAAAAGTTTAATATCTTGTTTGTCCTTGCCACCTGTGGCTTAATATTGCAAGTTTGATTTGTATGGTAGGTACAGCACAACTATACTATACACTATGTGCAACTCAAGTCAACACAACTAAAAACAGAACCTGGTCTGGAACAATCAGAAAAACCAGACTGGACAATCTTAATCATGAAATCCAGTATCAAATGAAGCGGAAATGAAAGATTAAATGGTCATTATAAAATATTATTTACTTAATATCTATCAGCCCACCACTTCCAGAGCACTGTAAAATGAAGGCAA